TGTGGTACGAGGTTCCTAAGGAAGCTCCAGCTGCGCCCTCAGAACCGCCGAAGCCAATCTTTCCTTGGGAGGCTCATCGATCCAAGCCATCCCGTGTATTTGCCGATGAGGAGCCCAGTTTTATACAAGGTGCAGAGCCACATGACCCTGCCGCGCCCCCTGGCGAGCAGTGGTCTACGCCTGTCGCGCAACCATCGGCTGAGTCTTCTATGACAGAAACCTCTACGGTGGAGCAAAGGAGTCAACCCGCGACGCCTACCACCCCAACCATCCAGATCTCGTTAGCAGATCCCTGGACTTCGTACTCGCGCACTAATGCATGGGATGAAGTACCGGAGATTGAGCGGTACGTCGATTCCATGCAGAAGCACAAAAGATCGAAGAGTCTGAAAGCTCCTGGTTCGATTGCATTGCCGAGTCCTAGTGACCGAATAGATAGCCCTTGGGAACGACGAGGTAGCAAGCTCACCGACTTCCCAAGTGAAGTCGAGCGTCCTAGCTTACCCGTTACTCCCGCACCTATTCACCGGCGAAACTTTTGGGGTGGCGGCCCAAACACTAGCCAGGGCCACGACGACCCGCTGCTACCTTCTGCAGCGGGCGTCCCTGGCCAGAGCGATTGGGTATGGTAAGTAATTGTCGGTGCTCGTGTCTCCTTGCCAAATCCAGAGTCTGAGGCCCCATTAAGGAGCCCAGACTGATCCCCCAGCAAACCCTAGCCCCCATAACCAATACTACGGCCAAAACAGACACGGCTAACCATCCTCTTTTAGTGTGCATGGGCGATGGTGGACTCCTTCTGACTGCCCTTGCGAAACTCGCTAACGTCCTGCTACAAGGACCCCGAGGCGCAGCTTGAACAGTTGGCCCAGCAGCATAGTGAAGAACTTTTGAGAAAACTTAGCGGCGACGGCCGAGACAGCAGCGACATGCCTCCCCGGCTTTTGCCTTTTGGGTCGGAGAAGCTGATATCGCCAACTTATGTGGCACAATCAGCCCATGTGCTAAGCCCTCAACCAATCAAAGGGAATGCAAGTTCGAGTTCTATACTCAACATGGTGACTGAGTCGGAAATGACGCCTCGGACAGCCCCATTGGTTAGCGAGCAAGCAGTTTTGGATGCGCCGCTTTCCAGTGAGGGGTCGACTTCAGAGTCAGAGACGTCTAGTACTCATCAGTCTAAGTCAGAGACATGATGTTACTCGTTCTTTTAGTAGCTTGATGTATTCGCTATCACTGGCATCTCTTCAAATGTCATGCTGCCTCCTTGCCCAGCACAAGATTTGGGCAGCATGACGTAAAGTGCCAGATACTAGCGTTGATTTTCCCGACGATGATTTCTGCAATACGCACCGAGTTACGAATAACTAAAAGATACTGAGAAGTCTTCATACCCAATGACAAAATTTGTCGTTATGTTTCGCTGCCTCTGCCTTGGTCCTCGAGAAAAACACAATACGAAGCTACGCTAGGGAGACGATGCCAAGTCCCTCAATAATATCTTTTCCAGCCTTCTAACATCTGTATTATACTAACACCGTTTTGACTATAATTCGTCATTTGGATTTCTGTTGCTGTTCATTCCGGGATCTGTCATATCCGTACCGTTCTTGCCTCCGTTGTTGCATTTTCGGGTGCGACTTTAGCCAATCCAGCATATTGTCGTATCATATTGCGGAGCTATCATTGTGTTCTTTTTTCTCATATGTATGTGATACTATGAAAATGAAGGTGGTCATTCTGTCGTGGTTTTATATGATGTGCTTGGTCATCACATGCGCGAAGCGAAGAAGCGAGATGATATCATTGTATGATATAAGTAACCTATGCCCATACCTGCCCAGACTAGTTACGTAGTTCGTGATATATTGAGGGTGATGTTCCCTGTCCTGGCTCTGAAAATATGTTGCGAAGTAGGGAGCATTTTATGATATGCTAAGTACTGTGCTAGATGCTGCGTGAGATTAGCTATCGTTGTTATTTGAGAAAGCTTTACTATCAGATGTGCATTATTTAACAATAGTTTCACAAAGCCAACATCCGCACACAATCCCCCCTTGTCTAAGGGGGAAAGTCTAAATCCTGTGAATGGTAGTAATTGTTAATGTGCGGAAATTTCCCCCTTCTTCAGGGACATCATTACCAAGCGATCTATTCAAATACAAATAATGCTTATAAGTGGTCATGAGAAGGACAACTTTATCTTACACCTCAACGCCTTCTGATTAAATCTCAAGGCTGCTTCGCTGGACAAGATTCTATTTTACTGCCAAGGACGCTTGAATGGAATAGCTCTCATGTGAGCTCCCATGGAGCATGCCCTAATTGACTATATACAGTCCAAGCTTGAACGACTGCCGACTGGTCAAGGAGGAGGAGTCATGTCTTGCCGTCTGACCTTATGTGGCTTGGCGGGCGAGGAGCTGAAGTGGATAGCAAGGGAAGGCAGGACTATTTGGCTATATCTACACGAAGTTCCAGTTGAACGGAAATTTGAGTTAACGAGTCAGTGATATTCGTCGAGCTATTCGTCCTCATATTTGAGGTCAGATTCTGGATCTATCGTTGACTGTTCTAACAGTCTTGTTAGGCCGGAGCAGATTGTTTGTTTCCACTACCCTATCGTGATCTTCTCTACCTGGGGGGTCAAGCCCCTAATTGGTATGTGATTCCGGCTTACGTCCAGGGAGATTCCCCATGCCTGCCTAACGGTTTTAAGTCTTATGGAAGATCTAGGCCTTTGGGTGGCTTTATACGATCGCGCTCACGTGGATAAATTGATTGATAATCTAAGATAGAGCTGTGACTATAATTTTGGGCCCTGATTCTGTTTTTCTTCCTAAACATAGAATTCATATGCGTTTCTACCATAGAGGATACGATGTAGCTACCTACCTAACTCTCCCAAGGGGAATTTGATGTAGCCCGCGGCTCCGATACGAATACCTGTAAGCCAATACGTGTATGAAGGAGGCGCTCCAAGTCCTTATAGAGCTGGTATCTCTCGGCCCCTCGGCCGCGCATTCACTCCACTCTGCGGCTGTATTATCAATCTTACGCCGTACTTATCTTTCGCTAGAGATGCACAGTGCGCATATATCTTTCTGCTGAAACCGGTGCTACGCAGGTCAGGCTTTTGACCCCCATTGACATTACCGTGACAGCGCCGAATAGGAGACTTTCCTCCTTCCCTCCTTCTACTATCTCTCACCGAAGGCAGCAGATCTATCTATCTGGTATCGCCCCACTGTAAAAAAAAAAGTTGGGCTTGGGTGGGATTCGAACCTGACGTGCCGCGTTGTATACCCTACCCATGTATCTGCGTTCAGTGCGAGCTGGCTGCAGAATATGCTAACATATTGAACATTTTTTTGAGAGAAAGATAATTGAAGAAAAAAAAAAGCAAAAAAGAATCGGGACTTAATTAAATCTTCCTACTGAGGCGCTCGAAGCATAAGACCATTTTTGCGTGTCTATGGAGTAGTTTCAACATAGTTTCTTTGGTCGAATGCCCCCCATGTGTTCAGCTTTGGCCTGCCCGACCGGAAAACTCCCGATACCTAGCCCTGCCGGGTACGGTGGTTATTCCTGGCGACTACTTTACCATTGCGCCACGGGCTACTACATACGTCTGTACCTAGTAGGTGACCGAGGCTCCTGGGAACGTCTGTTAGAGGGTGGCAGCTTGTTAATACTTATATTCTTGCAACGGGTCTTGGTCCACCCTATGCGGGCCATCTTTTGGTGGCATCTTGCTCCGTATCTCCTGGTTTAGATTTAGGGGTTCTGAAGAGGAGGTAAGTAAGTAGAGTAGGCTTTCTGAAACAACATGTCCAAAGTCTGTCTGTCAGCCATGCAGCATTAGAAGTCACAGGGAATGCGGTTCTGCTTACGAGTTCTCATTGCCTGGTAGCTATGCGACGAGGAGAGTTTTGACGTAAGTCGATGCGCAGTTAGGTAGATATTTTGCCACTCGGGCTTCATCTAGCTGGAGCTCTGGACCTAGGGGACCTAGGGGTCTATGTAAGCATTGACTGATCGCCTCGGCAACAATTCATGACTCGCATGAAGCTCTCGCGATGTCACACTACACGTAGCTCGCTATTATGTGGCTTCACTCAATCTCTCCTTCTCCTCTCTTCAGTCCCCTTTTTCGATCTGCGCCGCGCCGAAACCCTCGGCCCCCGACCACTGCCCGCCGTCTACCAGGAACAGTTCCCCGGGAAGACTAAACGAACAGCAGAGGGGCGGACAGTTGGGCGGCGCTGAACGGCCAACACGACCGTGTACGCCCACAATAATATTGCGCAGGAGCTCCTGAACTAGACACGGAAACTAGGTATTTAGCTTGTTTAGCTACTGTATGGGCAGTGGGACAACTCTCGTGTTCCTGCGCGGGTGGGGAAAACGAAAAAGAGGACTCCTGAAATCTGACCGAGCCTGACTGTCGGCGCCGCGCCATGCGGCTAGGCTCGCCTGCGCGGGGATCTTGAATCAGGCGCTGCGGTCCCTGGATGCCTACTCGCCTACCTATCTAAATGTCTATCCAGCAGGTGGATAGGTAAGTAAGCATGTAAGTAAGCATACTGGGACCTGTACAGCTCCCAGATGAAGCGAGTTCCTGCCAGGTACGCGCATCGGAACGGGGCTCCGTCTGCTATGCCAGCGTCCCGCTTTAGCAGTTGGTTCCACAGAGATGCTGAACCAGATTTGCAAAGATTCTTTATGCTGTTGGTCACAAATGCGATTGCGCGCGCGCATACGCGTCACACACATTTTAGAATGCGGTGTGCTTTTTCAGTGAGATGAATATGCAACATGTGCCCTCGGTAACTTCCAGGATGTTTTAGCTTTTGATTCAGTGAGTAGGTAGATAAAACGTTTTAATATAAACAAAAAGAAAAAGAATCTCGCTTGCGCCCCAAGATGAAGGATAGAATGACGGGATGAGAATTGTTTTTCAAAAATTGTAGAAAATATTTGGAATTCTTCATTGAAGCTGACCTCGCTGGGGGTCGAACCCAGAATCTCCTGATTGCTATTCCAATACTCAGAGCCGCTGTGGCGGTTCCTTGTTTGTCGTAGTCAGACGCCTTGCCATTGGGCCACGAGGCCGTGATTGGTGGAATGCATGCCGCGGTATGAAAGATTATGACGGAAGCGATTGTTTGGCGGAGGGCAGTCTGCAGAGTTCTGTGCGGAGGGGAAAATTTTCCTTGTGGCAACCGAAGAGCGGGACCGGATCCAGTGTTTGCACTGTGAGATGAGCTTTTTAATCGGGCCTGAAAGCTCGGAGATGCAGCTTTGCAGCTAACAAGCAGTGAAAGGTCCAACTTCGGAAGCTAAGCCCTGTCTGCTCGTTTGGTCTCTTAAATGCGAAAAGGCTTTTCGGCCTCCCCTTGATCTTCTCACTACGGCATTAACTCTCGGCAAATTCGTTGCACGTGCTAAAAAGCTGCTGTAATTTTGCCTTCCTTTATTTTCTTTTTCGTGGCTGCTGGCCTCCTGCTGGCCTCCCTCCACATTGCGCTGTAGGCGTGCTGTGGCGAATGCGATTTCCAGTTTGGGTAGACTGCTCGATTATCATTGGACAGTCGCGGGACTCGCCGTTATAGCGGCACTCGGCAGGCCCTAAGCTGGCCGGCACAGCCGGTGTGGTCATCAACGTATAAGCACCACGGCAGCATGAAGGAATGGACGAATGCGATCTATTGCTGCTGAATCTGTCTTGAAGCTCTTGCATGATAGGTGGACTGTGAGAACTTTGTGAGGCTCTTGAGTCGTGAACTCTCTGATTTTCCTAACTAGAAGGCAACTATTAATTGTAGCCGCAGAGTAATCACTAAGGATAGGTAGTTGACCCAGGTGAACGTTTCATTAGGAAGGTAGACTGAGATTTTCGCATCAATTGTTTCGTTCCTTTGAGTGTTATACTTTGGTTCTCACGTTTATCTCGTAAGTATGGTATATGATCTACATAATGCACTTAACACATCATGGTAGTTTTTACCTGTGAGAGACAAGCATGCTGAGTCGGTCCAGAAGCCAGGTTTGACCACACAGACGTGGCTTTTTGCACAAGGTAAACGCTCGGAATACAGAACCGAAATTGAACACTGTTTTCTTGGGATTTGGGATAGTGTAAGTGCTAGAGGCTATCTTCGCCCACGTCAGGTGGATTCAGGGTGCACCTAGCGCTGGCCGAGTTACGCAGCCCCCGCCAACGTACCTTATGAGATCTCCAGCACAGAAGTCCAGCACAAGATCTCAGTGTTGCTATTATAATTCCTTAATTGATTAGATATTAGTGTTTTGTCTCATACTCTATCATCGTGCGATAAGATAGTCTAACGTATCACCAACTGTGTGAAATAGAAGAGCTGTAAGCTGGGCGTATTATGGCTGTAAGTTGTGCTACAATCTCATTAGAAATGAATGTAGGTCACACATCACCTCAGTCAAGACCGCTCCAGACCACATTGGATTTAGAGGTGCCAAGCTGTGAAGCGGAATGCAGTGACTCCTTCACTGTCTATTTGTGCTCGAGGGATCCAGCGGCGCACTTTGCCGTAAACTCATTATTCGGTTCGCGCTTCACCTTCCGAAGGATCACGCGATCAATGTGGCACAGCTCTATTGAAGTTTAGAATAAGCTAAGTAAATGTAATTCTCATACAAAGTAGACATCTCTGAACCCTCTGAAATAATTCACGTTTCCCATATTGTGATCCTTCTGATGTGAATCCTGGACCATGACCATGACTATAATATTTCTTACTCACATCAACATGTTATAATACAACTCTCTGCTATAGAGCCTTATTCATCACCACCATCCTCATCACCGGAAGTACCGGGGCTAGATACCCAGTCTACGTAATACCACCTGAGGGAATGGTGAGCAGGCAAGAGCATGTTGGATATGCGTACAGACAGTATTAGTCGGTGTAGCTGCCACTTCGTCACAGATTCCCCAGGCTTGGCAAAAGGATTCTGTGTGAATAGTGATGTGATTAGGCCGCACTAGATCGTCTAACCCCAGATTGTGTCATGAAGTATAAAAGCATCCTCGACTAAACGCACTTCTGTACAAGTATGTGGGATGTGTCGACGATACGGCTGGGCTTCGGGCCAAGACTTATTTGTTATGCAGGTACCTGGACTAGTGTGACTGCTATCCCCCGAACGGCAGTGGTCCGGTAGGATTTTTTCCCAGGGACTTTTACTAGGGGCCCAAGGAGAACCGTAAGCTCGGGACTGCAATCTCGACGTCGAGTTCCAATTGCGCACAGACACGCAGACCCAAGGAATAGGTTAATTGAAGCTGCCTAACCTAAACATTCAGAAATGAATTGTTAGTGTAAAAGCACCGCATGTGCCACACATCTTGGTACAACACTAATATCAGCCTTTATTCTAGAATGACCCAATTAAAATAATTGATTTACTTGCAACCCGTGTAGTGTAGATTCTAGGTGGTATTAGTGAAGGTCGTATTGAATCAGAATTCAGTGAATCTACACTAGGTAGCAGCGGGATATTAAATCTAAGACAGAACAGCTGTTAGCTGTAGCTATAGTCTTCCTGCGCTATCTAAGCGTCTCCCTACTAGTCCTCGAGTAGGCATAGCCGAGCCACTTCCCCGCATCCTAAACCGATATGTGTTAGGAGAATGGAGCTTGCCGTCACGTTGGTTTCTCCAGCAGTTTACACTAGGTTTCTAGTGTAGTCGTATTCGCCATGACGCACGGCCCAGCATACGGGGGTTTATATGTTATGCGTTAGGGGCAGACCTAGCATTAAGTCCAACCAGCCCAACTGTGTGTAAAACAGTCAGAATTCCGGCCGCGGTATCCTGAACTATAATGCCAAGGCTAAATATTCTTCCTCTGCTATGGAGCTTCCACATCTTACATGGACTTTCCCTTTTCTGTCATAGCGGCTATAGCACCATAGTACTAGTCCACAGCAAAATCCACAGCTATCCTCTTCGGAGACGACAGCACGATTCATGTCGAAGCTTACGTATTTCTTGTTTTCTTAGTTTCTTGCATTCATTGCTTGTTTTGACCTAGCAGTGCCAGAAATGAGCGCTCCTACTCCTGCGAAGTAAGAAGCGGTGTCTTGTTTGTGCCACGCACATATTTTCTTGCTGTGTTAATTCACCAGGACAATTTACAGTACCACCTGGTCATACTCGACGACGCCTAAGATCTTATACCGACATTCGTCTTGGTCTTCCGCATGCTAACCTAGGACAAACCAGAATCAAATCCACAAGAGCTCAGTGTGCCATTGTTACCATTTTGACGTATTTCGTATGCGATAATAGGCCAAGCAGTTCCGGTCAAGATAAGCGTCAGAAGAACAATCGATAGTTCAAGAGACCGACAATGAGGGAACCAATTAGGTAATGACTGTCCATGTGAAGAACAGCACTGAAAGAGCAATACTAAGAAGTCTAGACTAGACTCTGTTTACTTGCTAACCTACTTTCTGCGTACCAAGCAATTGTATCTCAGCTACTGAAGCTTCTCCTGCGAGCTTTCCACAACTCACAGAGCCGACCGTGTGATTATATAATACTAGTGGATGCTCCGTCTCCCATTCAAATTTTAGTTCAGGTTTAGATCAATCATGGAAACGCTAGCACCTAGATTAGATTCACGATCGCCTACGAATAGTAGGACGTTGTGGAGGGAAAAAAACGAAGCACTAGACACTATTAGGGCGTGATCACCCCCCTTGTTCACGTCCCCTAGCGCCCACATCGAGGGCAGGGGACTTTGGTATATAGCACTTGGTGTTGACACTACCGATGATCTACCACAAAATGACTTGCGAAGATCTGCACTCACTGTTCTTCGAGCGGAACTCTCATATCTGTACCATACTCCTTTTGTCTCGTTCCTTCATGTTGGTTTTTGTTTCGAGTGTCTGACACATACGCATACATATTGCCATGGTATCTCGACCAGCCGAGTGGAAATATATTACGTCCTCGCCTTTCCTTAACACTCAGGATCTATTTGGCATATCCTCTGACTACAGGTCGACGGCACGTGCTACTATTAGGTAGCGCGAACATTGTGTACACTCCGCATTATCTGACCACTATCCTTTAAGTCTCTCCTTATCATCCGCATCTCGTACCGAAGCCACGACGGCGCTATCACATACGGAAGCTCGATTTACCTAGATGGCCGGACAAGCCGTTTAATAGTCAACGACGAGGACACCGTTCAACGAGAGTGTCCTATATTCCAGCAAACTTAGCCTACACTTCGCCGACTACATCAACTTAGAATATTTTCCAAAATGGGAGGAACCGTAGTTATATCGCAGGGCGTGATGAACGCTATCACCATCATCGAGCGAATCGGATCTGTGTTCTCTCTGATAGGATGTCTATTCATCATCGTCACCTTCGTTTCATCCAGTGGCTTCCGCAAGCCTATCAACCGCCTTGTGTTCTACGCTTCCTTCGGAAATATGTTGGTCAATATCGGGACACTCATCGCCAGGGCTTACGTCCACGAAGAGAACTCTGTCGGCTGCCAGCTCCAGGGCTTCTTAATCCAACAGTAAGCGACCTTCACTATCTTCCGATCTCCATCAACAACTCTAACAAGCTTTACGATAGGTTCTTACCCTCTGACGCTCTATGGGCCCTTGCTATGGCTTTCAATGTCTATCTGACATTTTACCACAAGTTTGATGCCCATAAGCTGAGGAAGATGGAGAAATGGTATCTTCTGATTTGCTACGGAATACCATTCCCGCCGGCACTAGGCTATATCTTCATTTCTACTAAAGAAAAGGGGAGAATATATGGCAACGCAACACTTTGGTGCTGGGTAGGCAACTCCTGGGATATTCTGAGAATTGCTACGTTCTACGGCCCGGTCTGGTAAGTATTTTCTACGATATGGCAGTCCGTTTATCGTGGTATTAATATCAATATAGGGTCATCATTTCGGCTACTTTCTTCATCTATCTTCGAGCAGGACGAGAAATCTACATGAAGCGCAGACAGCTGCGTAAGATCGACAGTGACAGTAACCCCGGCCTCGATCTTGATGTAGTCAAACTAGATGATATCTACCCGATGAAGA